ACTGATTTTCTAAGAATAATAACTGCTATTATTCTTTCTGCCAGAGACTTCTTCCGGTCAGTTTCATCTCCGTGTCAGTTTACCCATGTCTGCGTGCCTGGTAATCATCCCTGTATTCTCCCCAGCTTACACATCCCTTTACTTTTTCCTTCTTTTCCCTTGTTTTTTTCCCCAGCGTGTCATTACTCTTGTCACGCACTGGTTTCCTGCCTTCTCCACTGTGTTCTGATGCTTCTGATGCTGGGGCTGGCGATCTCTTCTGCTCTCAGAAAGGCATCCTTAAAGAGCTCCTTTATAACTCAGCATTTGAGAACGTAATCTTCATTTCCTTCTGTAAATGGAGAGCTGTAGTATTTTCTGTAGTAATTTCATAATTAGCCTCCTTTGTCTGAGTTAACTGGAAGCTGTGAAACATACATACTAAGCGTTGCAGAATTAGAACCTGTCCAAAATACCACTGCTCGGCTGGCTTTGTTCCTTCTTGGTGTGAGGGGACAAAAAACAACCAAGGAGAGTGTTTGACCTTTCTTTCTATTTTCAGCAGATTTCGTAATGACGGGGCTTTTAAAAATGGAGATCATTTTCTACCTAAGGGTTTTTTTGTTGTTTATTGTGTCGACGATTTTATATGCCGTTCATAAAGAATTGCTTAGCGATAAGTACCTTACAGAGAACCAGTTTCATTCACTGTCAAGTCTTGACAGATAAGAAGCGCAGTGGTACCTGATCCCTCTGTGGAGACGTCCGATTTCTACACGGCTTGTGCTTTAGTGGGATGCCATACGTACCTCTTTATGGTTCAGGACAGTTAAAAGCCTAAGAATTGTTCTCCAAAAGGCTCTCATCTCAGGTTTCTAGCAAGCTGGATGAGGTATTCTTCTAGACAGAGAGAATGCAGATCTGTCTATCTTTAGCTTGTAGAAGAAATTGGCTAATGCAGCGTTAGGAAGACCGTGGTCAAAGTGCTAAATTTTTTTTTCCCCTTGTCTTGCAGAAGCTGAGAACAGACTCAAGGCTTTGCTTCTGAGACACAGAGAGTAAGTGCAAGTACATTAGTTTCTGCACGCCACTGAAACAAACAGCCTCATTTTTTGCTGTTTTCTGGTCAGATTTGATTTGTAGCTTCCATCATTTCCTAGGTGGCCAGTTGTCCATTCGTGAAGTTAATTGGGGCCCGTGGTGAGTACAATGATAAGTTCTGATCAGTGAGGATAGACACGTGGAATCGCAATTACGGTGGTCTGGGGAGGAAGAAAAATACCAGCAATCTGAGGGCTTTTTGCACCGCATAGAGAAGCTAACACTTCAATATGGGATTACTGAGTCTAATAACCTAAGAGCTCAACTATCCTGCAGA